AAAACAGTAAAACAAACGACATCGCGTAATGTCGTTTGAACGACACATGTGTGGTGAACAACTCATGTATGTATATATACTGTTTTCTCCTGTGTAAAGCGCAGTGTGGTGCAAAGCTCTTATAATCTTCTGACATGACACCAATGGTGGAGCGCTGTCTTTATACAAACGACAACTGTGCAATGCACCCGGCGACTTGAGCCCTTGAAGTTCCCCCCTGTGTGGTATGATGTCCTTTGCGCAACTTTGGTGCCTCTCGGTAGCGGCGGCTCCAGCCGCCAGGATGTGTTGTTGGGGTCGACGGGCGGGCCCTCTGCCGCCAGCAGAGCATCCTGTATCGCCACAGAACGCCTGTGGATAGCGCGCCCCCCGCGCGGTGCACCAGGTGTGCGTATAGTCGTCGGCGGTCGACCCTTTGTATACCGCTGATGGCAAGCCTCCACCGGGAACATGTCGACGTAGTGGCCAAGGTTCCGGAGTTGCTCTGGGTGGTGTAGCCTATTTGTGGTGCTTTGGTCGCGCGCTGGCGGGGTATGCTGCGTGGAAGGCCTACTGGCGGGCAGCCTGCAAGGCTTTTTGGTGTAAAGTAGGCGCTAACTTTTCACAGCAGGTGTTAGAAAAGCTTGTTCATCAGCACTTCAAGGAGAGTGGTTTTCTAATTGTTCTTGCTGACTTTTCCTTTTTTGAATCCTGTAGCATTCAGTCCTAGAGCCTTGTTCCTTTCACGTGTATGGGTTGGAAGAGATCTCGCTTAGAGACCTTGGCAAAAGATTGGTAGCTTGATATCAACGTTTAATGAGTTTAAGTGCAAATGTTTAATATCAAGGAAAAGCCTTAATACAAAGAATGTATATGGAAATATATTTCTATATAAACGAAGTTTTTGAAGTTTTGAATAGCTGGGGGCATGCTCTGTAGATGTTTCTAAAATTTATATAAATACAATATACTAAAAAAAGGTACCCATGGATGATGATTATGATTTTTTGCTCTTTGACTTGATATGCTTTTCTGTGAAGAAATTGCAATCCATCTGGCTTGTACGTCTTCGTGTGTGCAATTGGCACAATCCGTCGCACTTTGCTGTGAAAAAAGCTTGGCTGCGTTTGTTTGCCCACGGGTTGAACATGGAGCGCTTTGGAGCGCTTGGCGCAGCCATGCGCATTTTAGGGAAGAAAGGCGTTGTGGGAAGTTCCTGTTTCGCGCGTCGTTTGAC